ATGGCGCGGGATCGTTGAAGTTAAGCAACTTTCGCAGTGGTTGGTCATTGGATGGGTGACCAAAAATCTTCTATCTCGAGTTCCTCCGTGCTTCGGAAGGCACGTAAAGCCGTTGGTCCCGGCTGCATCTGCAGTCGTTAGCACCCGCCAATCCGCACTGGGCCCGCGTGGTGGGTCATGGCCCAATCTCCCTATTCCATTCATAGGGAAGGCCTGTGCCCCAGCAGTGGGGACATTAATAGGCTGATGATGATGATGATGACTGTTTATAGCGATTATGATAAAATAATATAAAAAAAAGAATTCCTGCAAAATTGGAGGCAAAGGAAAACTTATGTTATGTAAACTAGTGTGCTTTTGGGGTTTATAACCTGAAAAAAGGTTGTAAAGTTATGATGTAAAAAATTCTAACTTGGCTGGTATACAAAATTCCGCCCAGCTCTCACAGCTCTCAGCTGTTCGTAGAGAAGTGCTAGTGGTGGAGGAATAATTTGACAGTGTTTATACTAAGGCACCAATTGGTCAGTCTCCTATAAAGAAATGGTTACTATTGGCTGAGTTTTGACCTCTTCAATGACGTCACATCTACGTTTGCCAGTAAACAAAAACACCTTCCGTTTTGAAGATAAAGATGGCATATTAAAATTTTCTTTTCAAATTCATGTTGATAGTATGCAACGGAATAGATCAACAATTAAAGAAGTGGGAAGAATGAGTCAACAAATAAATGTAAAGTACCAACAACTTCCATGGTTCATAATTATGCATTGGTGTTTTACGGTTTCGGCATCACTAACTCTGACGGCCCAGAGAGCGTACTCTTCGTCATGTTGTGTCCTACTCTTTTGCATCTAAACCATGTAAATAAGATAAGGGTGGCCGATGAATATTGATCACGCGGTATATTCAAGTCGACTCTATGAATATGCGAAGTCCTATCCGAAGTAACTACTTAAAAACTAACTTTAACAGAATAAGGAGTACAGGTCATGCCACAAGACGTAAGCCCATTGTGAATTAGCGGGTACTAACTTGCAGATTCAGCCAAAACTAATGGCAGCGAGCTTTCTGAAACACGAATTTGTGGTCATTAACTTCCACGACAGCGAACCGAACGTACTACCTAAATTGTCAATCAGAGCCTTCAGCTTTCCAAAAAAACGGACATATGCCGTTGACATGCGATAGAAGTGAAACCAACAAAAATTTGAACTCTTAAAAGTCTTTCAGCCGCCCGCGGCTTTATTTGTTACCAGCTATTTTTATTTTATTTATTTTATTGTTTTAGGCTTTTTTCGAAATATTTATTTATAAAAAAATACTGTAAAAAAATTGCAAACATTGGAAAAGATTGTTGATAAAAACCAAGCTTGTATTAATAAACAACTGAGGCACCTACCAAACGTTTAATACTTAACTATTCAGGTAAAATACACGGCAAAAAATTGTTTCGAAAAATAAATAATAGCTGAATAAAAGAAAAAGAAATCAATAATAAATAACCGAGCTCAGGATCGAACCACCGATCATTTGGTGTCGACCCCAAGACCATTACCGTTCGGCTATCTGTCTTTTGCAGGGTTACAAAATTAAGGATACCTTGTGTCAAATACTGTTAAATTTTCGTTTCATCGAGTTTCAAATCACAACTGAGCTAAAGAAGTTTTCACTTCAATAACATTTTTACTATTTAAAGGAATCATCGGAGTAGATACTAGCGATCTTTCCTGGAACTTGTTTTCAATTTGATGAATTCATTAAGTTAGTTTGGATTTGGATTGGCGTGATTTCGATCAACAATCTAACACACCTCTTACTTACGTGCTTAGTAGCATGTACTTGAACTCGGTCACGTCACGTATTTTTTAACCATTACTTTGGGAGGTCTCGAAGTCACTATGGTTTTCGGACTTCATATTGGCCTTACAAAAATCAGTGTGGCTGCAGAAAAGATGTTATTATATATTTATCTGTCTCATAGTAACTTTGCCAGTATGCCTTTAATTGAAAGTATATTTGGCTTGTATTAGGTTCCCAATACGCTAATAGGATACTGGACACCAAACTCCACCACGCACTTCACGCTGCCAAGGATCGGAAGAGATGGCGTAGTATTATCAACGCTTCAATAATCCTGCGGGGAAATCATGACTCTCAGACACCATGCGAAGAGCAGAAGGTTCTCAAATAAATTTTCTGATCTTTTATTGATTCAAATATTATTCACTCCTATCACTGTATCTCTTGCAATCTAATATTTAAGTTGTTTTTTGTGCATTTTAGATCTTCTGTCATCCAAATTTTTGCTCTATGCTTTTCAACAAATGGTCATTTGATGGTTCTCCTACGAAGGAGCTCGATAGCGTAAGCGGTTGGCGCGTTCGACTGCGATCGTTGAAGTTAAGTAACTTTTGCAGTAGTCGGTCATTGGATTGGTGACCAAAAATTTATTATCTCGAGTTTTACCGCGTTTCGGAAGCCACGTTTAGCTGTTGGTCCTGGCTGCATCTGCAGTCGTTAGCACCCACCAATCCGCACTGGGCCACCAATATGCAGGAATGAATGCCAAAGCAAGGAAAAGCTCGAAGTAATGATTCTGATGATGAACCTCTGCAATAGCTGCATAATATTTGCCATAGATCTCTACTGAAGTAATAAAGCAGATAATCTTTTACCGTTAAAATCTTTATACCAAACAACCTCTAAAGCTGATGCTAGACTTCGGGCATCATCATCATCATCATCATCAGCCTAGTAATGTCCCTACTGCTGGGGCACAGGCCTTCCCTATGGATGGAATAGGGAGATTGGGCCATGACCCACCACGCGGGCCCAGTGCGGATTGGTGGGTGCTAACGACTGCAGATGCAGCCGGGACCAACGGCTTAACGTGCCTTCCGAAGCACGGAGGAGCTCGAGATAGTAAATTTTTGGTCACCCATCCAATGACCGTCCATTGCGAAAGTTGCTTAACTTCAACGATCACAGCCGAACGCGCTAAGCACTTGCGCCATCGAGCTCCTCCTGGACTTCAAGCAAAGGGAAAGCCAATCAATAAACTTTTAACAAGCTTCTGAAAGTACTCACTTAGAGACGATCTTACTGAAAGCATTTTGTCGATGAGTTCATGTAAGTATCAAAACATTTTCGTTGCAGAATTCTATTGATTATGAATCACGAATAAAACAGTATTGCTATTATTTTCATATTTCGAACAACTGATAGCATTAACATTCTCAATACGATACAATTAGTTTGTTTTATAACCTTTTCTTGGAAAGATCGTAACATAGTAATATGCTGGATGCGAGTTTTATAAATCGTTATGAATGGGCCTGATTGACATTCTGCGTAGGGTCCGACTTATGCACCCCCGTACAAGAGCTGCATTACATTGGTAAACGTCAACACTTCAATACGATCGCATCCATTATCCACAAACAGCATTAGCATTGAACAGACAGATTGTGGCTACTCGTGTTTGTTTTAATAACTAGTACTGCATTTACTGAGGAGCTCGATGGCGCAGGTTGTTAGCCCGTTCGGCTGCGATAATTTGTAGTTAAGCAACTTTCGCAGTGGTCGGTCATTGGATGGATGACCAAAAAAAAAATTCTATTTCGATTTGATCCGTGCTTCCGAAGGCACGCTAAGCCGTTGGTCCTGGTTGCATCTGCAGTCGTTAGCACCCGCCAATCCGCACTGGGCCTGCGTGGTGGGTCATGGCCCAATCTCCCTATTCCATCCATAGGGAAGGCCTGTGCCCCAGCAGTGGGGACCTTAAGAGGATGATGATGATACTGCATTTACTATTCGTACGAGTTGAAATGGTGTTGTCAAGGAAACTACGAGACGCAATTCAAAATTGAACATTTCGCTTTAAATTTAAAATTTTCATCAAACATAATCCCCCTTATTAATAAACGAAGGCTACGCTTGGATTTGTTACTTCATGTTTCGTCTCTGTCTATTGATTGACAAATGGTATTTAAGTGACATGTACCCCTAGCGCGAATCGAATAGTTGGCAAATCAAAATGTCAATGTCAAATTTTGTATGGAAACTTGAACAGCAGTGCCACTTTTGACGTAACGGGAACTAAAAATCAGTACACATTTGACAATGACATTTCGGATTCGCAAATGTTACGACTACGTTTTTGTTCGTGCTAGGGGTACTGAACAAAACACGGCGTAACTAGTCAAAGCTTATTCCTTGTTTATAATAATATTCATAAATATATATTTTTTATTTTTTTTAAGCGGCAATAGGTTATGTAAAAGAGTTATTTTTTTTTATCCAAAACAAAGAATGAGACCTAAACAAAGTTCACCTTGCAGTAACCACATTTCGAATTGGTTGCACACAATGGCTTTAATTAACGATCACTACAGATTCATTCAAATTTTAAAATAAATCCTACTATTATATTTATTTATTTATTTAGGCATGCTAACTGTCACACATATTCATACATTAATGAATGGGTCGGATACTATACAGTTTTCTTATATGCAGACCAATGATAAGCACACACAACAATGAAAGATTGATGGACTGCATTAATTTATTCAAATACATACATACAAAAGAAGAACAGATTATTTCGCTATTTATTTATTTGTTGTACCAAAGTGTTTCAGCAACTTTCCCGTAAAGGATACAAGACCATCACTAAATATATATATATATATATTACTAGCAAACCAGTGAACCAAATGTTCATTGAGAACTTCGGAGATTTTGTGTGGTTTCGTTTGAAATTCGTGATTTCTCGAAAACCGGAAGTGCTACGTTACTCAAATCCGGGTTGTAGTCTTATCCAGAGGCGGCCTTACCTGTTGCGAGGCTCCGGGCGGCAGGTTTTTGCGAGGCCCATTGTCCTTCGTGAAAAGTATGTGATGCGAAAGTAGGTCTGGTTGTTTGATTTAGGTATTTGTCATGTTTAAGGAAAAATGCTTAAATTATAGAAATAAATCAAATTTGAATTTTAAAATATTTTACATTGAAAGATTCACAAAATTAACATTATCATTTACAGGAAATAAATCAACTTTAACCCGGATTGGACCTTTTAATACAATCTCAGTTCGGTCTACATCAGTAATTGTTATGGGCCACAAACCGGGGTCATTTTGAGGATTCAGATTTTCCGTTCCAGCAGTCATGGATGTAGACATAGACTCGGGCTCAGATTCGTGTTCTTGACTGGATAGCGTTGTTGATGGCATCGGTGACCTAAGAGACAATGATGTAGTTAATTCATCATCATCCTCGCTGTTTTTACTTAATGACGGCGGCGGCACCCATGATGATGTGGAAGGAATGTTTTCAGCTGGATCAGGATAAGAGTCACTTTTAGTCAATAAATGTTTTGTAGAGGTTTCTTTATCATCACTTTTTATATATTTATAAAAAGATCCACGCAGATTTTCTTCTACCTGCTTTCTTTTGATAGCTCGTTTCCTTTTTGAACTCCCTGACTCAAATTTTCTACCAGCATCACGATCACGCGAACTCATTTCGTTAATCTTGTTTTGTTCCGCTCAAACAGTCAAATAAAATTTTTAAGTACCACACAGTTTTTTTACACTTTTTCAGTTTTCTCAATACTTCAAATACTATAATTTACACTTTTCCAGCTCACTTAATACTTTCAATACTATAAGAACGTAATATCCAATAAAATTGAAAGATATGTACAGTAACGATTTTGTAACTCATACTTTAAGTAAAATAATTCCAAGGTGACAAAAGATAACAAATGAAATGAAACACGGGGATTTCCCGAACGATTGAAGAGCAGAACATTATGTCCCGACTCACGAGTGTTATGCGATTAAAAAACCGTTCTTCAAGTGTTTCGAGGCGCGATATTCAAGTACTACACTGAGAGATTTTTTCGATAACCGCAAGCACAAAACGTGACAAGTCCGCAATTCGAAGTTAACAAGTGAAAATGTACGTAGATCGTAGTTAATTTTGGGTTATGATAAGTAAAACTGTACCAAGATTAAGAAAAATATAGAATAAAGTACATCTTATGGTTACAATAACCCAAAGTTTACTTCTGTTTACACACATTTGTACTTATAAACTTCGAATCGCGGACTTGTAATTTTTTGTACTTACGGTTATCGAAAAAAATCTCTCAGTGCACTGTAAATTTTAGTGTCTTATTTTAAAACATTAAAATCGTTTTAGTATGAGGTCACCTATTTGATTAACATTGTCTCGATTTTAAAACACTAAAAACGTTTTAAAATCGAGACAATGTTAATCAAATGGGTGACGTCATATTAAAACGATTTTAATGTTTTAAAATATGACACTAAAATTTACAGTGTGTACATAATGAATTTTTCAATTATGTTTTGAATGAATGAATCAGTTAACTAACTTAATTTTAATTTACGGTTATGTTATAACCTTAACAAGTAATTAAGGATCAAAATCAAAAATTTTAAATAAAAAAAAATATGATTTTATTTATTTTTTAAGCATTTAACTGCTAGATGTTTAAATCTAAAGAAAAGTTTACTAGAAAAAAATCCACGCGGACCAGGCAGCGGACGGGACTCGAACCCGCATCCGTCGCTATCCGGGCGAATGCACTGACCATTATGCTACCACGGCCCTATTAGCCGCGTCGAAATTTTCCTAGCCTTAAGCTGCAAGGCAGCGCCATCTCTTCGCATTGTAGGTAACCCACAATGTCAAATGAATACTTTTTCAAGTATTAAACATTTGAAAGAAGAAATAGCAATTATAGTTATGATTTTATTTATTTTTTATCCGTCCGCTGCCTGGTCCGCGTGGATTTTTTTCTAGTAAACTTTTCTTTAGATAAAAAAAAATAGTTAAAAAAAAAATTAAATTTGCTTGGATTGTTGCGCGAGGCCCCTGTAGGAGCGAGGCCCCGGGCGATTGCCCTGTTCGCCACCCCCTAAGGCCGCCACTGGTCTTATCAGACTATTCTTAACTTATAACTTAAATATTCTCTTTATCTAACTCTTACGGTTTGGCCGCTGAAACAGCACCACAGACAGACGGACGGACTTGTCTAATAGATAAGAGATAGTACGTAATACATGCAATGATACCTAAGAAAGAAAGATACTAGTTGTTTCGTTGCATTAATGCTAATATGAAAATCCTCTAGATAAAGGAATTAGGAAAGGCTTCATTCGGTTTGTCTAAATTTTAAACAAAATTTGAAAATAACATGCCCTTATCAGACTCTTTAGATAATGAAAAGTAGGGCCGAACGAACGGCGCGGCGAACCGATGGACGTTGGGGTCCTAAGGTGTTTCAATGGCGACCTCGCACCGGGAAGCGCGGTGTCGGTAGAGTCAGGGGGACCCACTAGATGCGGAAATCTTAGGATCGTTGTGTTTGGAGATCCCAAGAAGAGGCTTATGTCCAGCAGTAGACGTCCATCGGGTGACTATGATGATGATGGTGAAAGACAGGCCCAGTATTTTACTAAAATTTTCAATTTAAGAAAGAACTGAAGGACCAAGTCCATTTTGTCCTTTATTGTGTGCAATAAAGAATATTATTATTATAATGTAAAATTTGCCATTGAAGAAAATTACAGCCTTGATAAGCAGAACAATAATTTTTATTACTGGTTTCGTATTCCTAGTGGCACCTAGTTGCTAGCGCTACTCTTATTATTATTATTAAGTTGTAAAAATATTTGAGAAATTTTCCAAATTAATAGTTTGAATCTCACATGTTTTCAAGCGATTTCATCAGGAACCAGACCAGAGAATATTGTTTGATCTCCTTTAAAATATGATGGTGTACTTTCAAATACAATCAATTCACTGCTACTGTGTTGTGAATATTCTTCATAATCTTATCACTATTGTCGTTGAATTAAGTTCATTCAGATATCTGCAGTTTGTTTTTATTGTTTATGCACTAAGGAACTCAAGATATAATATTTTTATATTTTTCATCTAACAGTTATTGCCTAAAAATATATAAATATTGAGTTCCTCCGTGTATCGGAAGGCACGTTGTACCGTTGGTCCCGGTTGCATCTCCAGTAGTTAGCACCCACCTATCCACACTAGGTCTGCGTTGTGGGTCATGGCCGGGTAGGGTGGCTGTCCCTATTCCATTTTTAGGGAAAATGGTCGGGTAGGGTGGCTCTCCCTATTCCATTTTTAGGGAAAGCTTGTGCCCCACAATTCGGGAGAATAGTAAGGTGATGATGTTCACATATTCAATAACCGGTGAATGCGAAGGTTGCTTAAATTCGACGATAGCAGACCGAACGTGATAACAACGTGTGTCAACGATCTCCTCATATCTATACTTATAACAAGATGAACCTGAAAAGTTTCATTTTTGGTTGAACTAGCTTATCTCAGGAACTATTTTTTATAGATATGTCCGACAAATGACTGTACCCCACCTGATGTTAAGCGGTGGATGTTATGTTAACACGGTGAAGTCCAAACGCGAAGATAACTCATACAGCAGTTCTACCTGCCTATTAGCATAGCATATTGATTTGAATTGGAAAAATATTTTTGTGTAGGATAATCCATTAATAGAGGAAGGCTGTTTGCTATTATAACATTGCCCTTCAACGAATAAGAGCGGAGCATCAATGAGAAAAATTGCAAAAATTCAATCAATGCAGGAAGGAGTAATATTATGCTTTTTGAGAGTTTCCACATCATACGCTACATAAAGTTATGCAAAAGTTATGGACGACAGAAATGCTCTCCTTAAAAGTTCGACCTAATTAATATATTTTATTAGGGTTTTTCCTGAAATTAACGCGGGTGAAACCGTTGGACCAAGTCGTTAATAAACCAAGCGATATATCTTCAATGTTTTCGAAACCAGAAGTGTTTCTCATATATTTTTCACTCTTCCCCTTTTCCAGAGCAGCGCTAGCAACTAGGTGCCACTAGGAATACGAAACTAGTAATAAAATATACTGTTCTGCTTATTAAAGCTGCAATTTTCTTCAATTTCAAATGGCAAAATTTACATTATTGAAACAAATACTCACTCCGAAATGATTTTCAGCCGTTATCTGAATTCAGCGCCAAACTTTTGCCTATCACTGACTCATCAAAACGGATCCAGATGCAAATCGAATGCAAAAAGTCCAAAACAAGAAGTTCAACGGTTCCTCTACAGGAGATACGTGTTGAGCATTTGCCGATCTCTAGGATGCTCCCATAACGGTTGGAGTACTGTCGAACAGTGTAAAATGACGACCAAGACGTGCGTCGGCGCAGTTCGGCGTCCGTGCCGCGCATCCCAATGAGTCCTGCCCGTCTGGAGTATATAACGCGACACCGATCGAGTCCACCACTACACCGACTGCTCTTTACCACACAACACCCTTTGAAGTTAAGGGAGCCAAGTGTAAAATGAAGCTGGTATATTCTTGTTTTGTGCTCGTCTGCGCTCTGTGGGAGGCGAACGGATATCCCTACCAGCCTTACTATGGAAACAATTTCGATACCCGTAAGTTCTGGTGACCTGTTTTTATGTTAGATCTTCTAATGAGTTTCGAGTTTTTTTTATAATTAATTAGTTTCATACTGGATTTATTTTTATGCACCGAAACCACTAATTAAGAAAATAATCGCTTTATGGATTTAAAGTTCAATACTTTTTTTTAACATTTCGGACCTTTTCCAATTTTTCCAGTTATCACCACACTGAGATTTTGATTATCCTATTTTTTACATTCCCTTCATGTTTTAGCGCTTTTAGACTCTAAATTAAGACATTTTCTGATTATTTCCAGTGTCATACGGCTCAAGCGACAACAGCCGCGGCGGCATGGTGATGAGCCGCTACTTCAACCCGTACTACGACCCGCGCGCCGTCGGCGGCATGGCGGCATTCATGTTCAAACAACCTGAGCAGCAGGTCCAGCCCTCCAACCAGTACTACTCGCCCGACCGCCGCCGCCAGACCCCGCAGGACGAAACCTTCTACCCGCAACAGAACGAAGTGTACTTCCCGCAAGCACCAGAAAAACCGATCGCCACAGAAGCCACTGAAATCTCCGAGCCTACGGTTAAAGTTGACCTCTTCCCTACCACAGCCAGAGCTACGATCGTGCCAGAACTGGCGGAACCAGAAGTAGAAGAAGTGGAAGAGCCTGTGCAGATACCTAAAAAGAGGGTGTCGAAGAAGAAGCAAGTGAAGAAGCCAGTTGATGATGACGAGGAGGACGATGATCCCCAACCGAAGATGCCAGCTGGTGCCTTTTTCCCAATGTTCTTTGGATATGGAGGCAGGTCCTCAGGTGGCGGTATGCCCGGTGGTGCTACAGCCGTAGCTAACGCATACAGCACGGGCCGCGGCGGCGTCGCCACCAGCCACGCCACAGCCTACGGAGCCCCCAGACCAGACTACAAGCCGCAACCTTAGTGTTAAACCACGTAATCTCACTTAGATATAAATTGTTTATATAGTACTGCCAATTTTGCCAGTGTTATTTTAAACACTGTTTTTTTTGAGAGCCATCTAGTGACGTTATAAATAACTACTTATATATCATCTTCCGAAGTAATAGTTCCACATGATATAATATATAAATACTACTTTATATAGAGTGTAATAAATAAATATTCGTCTTTAAAGATTCTTTATAAACTTCTAGCCTAATTGAATTTTCTGGTAAACAAGAAATTGTGTTGGACATGGAATTATTTGTGTTCTATTTACCATTGCTGTAATTAAATATATTATAATAAATGTTTATATCGTTGCTGTTTCAATATTTGTTTTTCATTTCATTACATTAGTATATGCCTCACTCATTAATATATCGTACCTATACACTAAAATACTAATAAGGTTAGTAGGTGTAAATGAAAATTGGCATAAGTTTACGTGCTCAATTATTACTAAGAATTCATCTCATAGCTCATTAATTAAATTTAACATTGAAGTTTCGAGAACTTTACAAGGAAACCGAAAATGTCCCAGGGCTCTAACTAAAATATACAGCTTTGTATTTCGTTTCAAGGCACATTTTATATTAAAAGTCAAGTCTTAGACCGCTACTTTGGCTGCTTCAAATTAACAGATTCATTTTGTTCATTGATAAAAAAGAAAATCTATGTAAGTACTAAGTAATAAGTTCAACAGGCACAGAATTTTCCGCCTAAGGAAAGTTATTAATATATGTTTTTTTAAGCATTTAACTGCTAGATGTTTAAATCTAAAGAATAGTTTTACTAGAAAACTATCCACGCGGACCAGACAGCGGACGGGACTGTTTTTCTAGTAAAACTTTTCTTTAGATTTAATTAATTAAATCTTAGAGTTTCGTAGTTTAATTAATTAAATCTTAAGAAAAGTTTTACTAGAAAAACAGTCCCGTCCGCTGTCTGGTCCTCGTGGATAGTTTTCTAGTAAAACTATTCTTTAGATTTAATTAAGATATTTTATAACAAATCGTAAGTTTAAAAAGATGTTACAAATTAGTAATTTATGACTGTGATGGCCTGCAAGGACAGGACAAAAGAAGGTGATCTAATTGAAGGCATAACCTAATTCTGATTGTTGAATTTGACCCGTAGGATCGTTTTAAAATGGAAAAAAACGAGTATATACAAAAACAATATATTATTATTTTTTTATTATTTTGCACCTTTTTTTGCATTTTGTGCAAAAACTATGGGAGATGCGTGAAAATATGTTGATACCTTTTTTGTAGGAAATAAAATTTTCTACAACTTTGTACTAGAAACTTTTTCTATTTTCCCAGCCAGTCGCGAGATATTAACGAAAAACTCGTTTTTGCACCATTTTGCAATGTACCCTTTGCCGTCAATGCAGCACCCTGCAATTTTAGTATATTAATCTTCGAACCCTTACGGAAATTTTCGCGTTGGTTGCAGGTGATCAACTCAAAATGGCAAAGTGAAGCTTTCATTGACTGGACTATTATAAAGGTTCTGGCAATATAATATTACCGTGGTTCTGGGTTCGAAAATAGGTAGAATTTATTCATGATAATGGTGTGCACAATTATTTCATGGTATTTTCTATGTGAACAAAATAGTATTTTTTATCTGCGGTTTTCTAGCTTGCGTTTATAATGTGCTATCATATTAACGCAACTCAAATCCGACTTCTTAAGTGAGACAATGCTTGTTGACTTCTGTCTGGAAAAATAATTCGTGATTACCAACAAACTCATGGTCACTCGTGGGGTCACGTGGACGTCACCAAAACACTCTGATGACCACATAGTTCGTAATCCGATAGATTATATCATTGTTAACCAAAGGTATCGCAACTGTATTATGTCTGTTCAAACTTATCCAGGTGCAGATTTGTTCCCCCTCTTGTAATTCTGTCCTACAAGGGGGGCGGCGGAGAGCTGCTTGGACGGGTACGCTCGAGAAGCCGTTCGCAACGGACGGGGGGCGGTACGGTGGGCAGTAGGCCGCGTACCCAGCCCCCACGCGGGGGCCTACCTGCGCACGTCTGCGGGGTACCCGCAATACCTCGGATGACCCCTGCCGTGAAGCCCCGGCGAGGCCGGGAAGCTGCTGGGTGCGGAGTCGTGGTAGAATCCCTAACGGGGACCCCGCGGCTTCGTATTAAGCAGTGTAGAAGGTATTCGCAGGACTTTTTTAGCGGATATTATGCTGTAAAGCGCCCGTAAGAGTTGCGGGGTCCTCGGTGGGCAGCCACTGGGGGGTCCGTAAGACTTGCGGAATCCAGGTGTGCCTCTTAAAGGCGCCGTCGTCTGTAAAAAGATTTTTTACCTGCGTTATAAAAAAAAGGTGCAGATTTGTTCTGGACATACGTAAATTTCAGAACCCGTCGATTAGACCAAAATCAGCATCTGCTGAGGAGTCCGTCCAAAGTTTAAATATAACCTTCGTCTGGCACGAGACAAGATAAATACGCAGAGTTGGCTAACCTCCAGTAGTGGAGAGGCACCATAGGAAGAAGAAGTAAGAGAGGAGGTCTACTCTATTTCAACGAAAATCGACATTTTGATCGAAATTTCGCACGTTCCTTACTCTGTTTCCTTTTCATTTCGAAAATTCGTTGGTCCGAAATAGTTTGACAATTAAATTCTCAAAGCCTACTTACTCTAATTCACAAAACTTTCGAAGGAAAAGTTGAATTTGACAGATAATTGTTCGAAATTTTAACCCCAAATTGACGAAATGAAAAGTGTTACCTTTTCATTTTCGTTTTGAGATTTTTGTTTCAATTAAGCCTAAAATACTTGCAAGAGTATTTTTAATAATAGCTGCTTAGCTCGAGAAACATTTTTAGCATGTAAAATTAACAAATACACCATCTTTTTATTATTTATTGTAAGTTTTAATGCATCTGATTATTGTTGTGCAGAACAAAAAGTTTGAATAAGCAAAGTAAGTAGTATATGAGCAACACAGTAGGTAAGTGAATACTATGGTAATTTACAATAATTTGAATAATTTTGAAATCAATTTAAATCGAATTTTACTGTTATTCTTGCCATATGACGGTTTGTGTAACAATGGTACAGTCATATTATGAGAATCGTCCGGCATTCAAAATCGTTATAATATAATAATTTCTGATATAATTAGGTTTTAGGTTTTTTTTCGAGTTTCGAGCACATTTTAAATGACACATAATACCTACAATACAATTAGAATGATTCTCACGAAAATTATAAAAAAGTATATACACTATATATAGGTATATTTTTCTAGTAGTATTTTCTTTAGATTTAAATATCTAGCAGTTATATGCTTAAAAAATAAATGATATAACTATAATTGCTATTTCTTCTTTCAAATGTTTTTTTTCCTTCAATGGCTTGTGCATTTAGCCAATGTCAAGTGTTAAAAATGTTTACAAATTCTATAGCACTCGTGGTCAAAGTATTATATCAAGTCAAAGTGGCAGTCAAGTCAATCCCCCTTTCCCTATGTTTCAGTAAATGTGTGGGGATTTACTGAAACCTCCCCGTAGACTTCTTGAGGGAACGTCGAAAGACACTTTCCGCTATTTTGTTTCACTTGCCAACACTTGTGCATGTTCCCGAACACTTTCTGGTTAATCCACCATTATATTACACTAACATCCGCCCAACACAATTTTTAACAAGAAAAACAAAACTGCTAAAGTGACGCTTTCCGATCCCGCCAAAAAGTCCCTTTCAAATGTACTTGTAAAGGTATTCATTTGACTTTGTGGGTTGCCTACAATGCGAAGAGATGGCGCTGCAGCCTAAGGCTAGAGAAATTTCGACGCGGCCATCAGGTAAATACCGCGGTAAATAACGCGGGCCGCGGTAGCATAATGGTCAGTGCATTCGCCCGGATAACGAAGGGTGGGGGTTCGAGTCCCGTCTGTTGCCTGGTCTACGTGGATTTTTTTCTAGCAGTATTTTCTATAGATTTAAATATCTAGCAGTTAAATGCTTAAAAAATAATGATATTATATATGAATATAATAATGATATAAGTCTATACGCTTTTAGCAGTTACAAATTATTGCAAATTTATTTACTTTTGTACGCCTTAATGGTAGTAATTTTAACACAGTAGGTAGGTACTAAAGCTTATTTACTGCCCTTTTGGTTTCATTTACTTCGCCAATCTCTTATCTATTAGACAAGTCCGTCTGTCTGTGGTGGCTGTTTCAGCGGCCAAACCGTAAGAGATAGATAAAGAGAATATTTAAGTTATAAGTTAAGAATAGTCTGATAAGACTACAAACCGGATTTGAGTAACGTAGCACTTCCGGTTTTCGAGAAATCAGGTTTTGGTGAACATTTGGTTCACTGGTTTGCTAGTCTATTACTAAGAAGCTTTACAAAAGTTCAAGGCAACTGATCAGATACGAAAAATCGTGTTTGTATCTTTAAATATAAATATTACAAGTACAATTATTTTACTAAGCCAGTCATCGTTACTGTTCACAATCACGATTTGTTTACGTTTTTTTTGAAACGTTTCATTGGAATATAAATACCTAGCGATCTTTCCTAGAACTATTGGGGTTCAACTATAAAACACCGTTTTCGTTTTATTCGAAATGCGCTTTCTCTGTATTTTTTTTATTTGATATGTATTTATGTTAAAGAAAGAAAGAAAAGAAAAACATTTTATTAGCCTTCACAACGTAAATTTAGAAATACAAATGGTTATTTAATAGTGAAACATAGATTTAAGGATAAAAGATAAAAAATAAATAAAAACATCGTGCCGTGGAAGGCCAATATGGCGCTGCCTCAGCTATGCTGTGTGGTAACCGCTTTCGCGTTACCACAGCAGCGCTGATTTTCAGCCAGCGCTTATGTTCACAGTAATAGGGATGATGACTAGCTTTTACTATCGGGAACATTATCAAAAAAATTTTGGACACTTATTTTTTTAGTTTTTCGCATAATCAAAACATTTTATAGATAATAATATATTGATTAGAAATGTCGCATAACGTCACATCTTGGTACAACTTTTAGAAGTGACGTCACTAGCCCCTTTCTTAAACTTTTTTGCGCTTTATCTTTGTAATTTTTTGTTTGGTTGACAAAGGAAAAATATAAGTGACCATTATTTTTTGATAATCTAAATGACAGACTACATATTTCATTTACTTTACCCCGTCATTATCCCCATTAACCGACTGTAAAGACAAAAGGAGGAAGTTCTTTTTTATGCACGCTTGACTTAGGGGGTAAGCTGGTGAATGCGTTACGCGTTACGAAAAGTGTGTTCGGGCGAAGCGGACGGGAGTTGAGTGGGGGATATAAGCAAGAGAAAGCAGTCACGCACATTTTCTTTCTCTCTTTCTCTTATAGCAAGTAAATGAAATATTTACATGTCCATACATATAATGTATATTGTACAAACATATACATACAGATGGAGCTAAAGAAGTTTCACTTCAGTCGTGTGGTCATGAGCACACTCGTTTGTTTGTATAATTATGTTCCTCAATACTTTTGTGAATTGTAAACCGATTTTGAAAATTCCTCCCCGCGGTGCTTCCATGTTCACCGTGTCATCTAATAATAAGATCATAATTTTTTTTATAATATATATAAGTTGACTTTATTCTAATTAATTTCGATTCATTTTTTTTTCTAATGTATATAAGTTGACTATTCGATTATAACGCTTCTTATAATGCATCAAATTGATTTTAACCGGGACATTGTTGATTATATGTATTTTTTTTTAATCTTA